GCCCCTAGGGAGGCATTCGGAGCCTGGAAGGTGGTCGGGCGCAGGGAGGTGGGTGGCTCGACGCAGGATCACCCCCTACTGGCCCTCCTCACGTGGTGGAAACAGCGGAGGGATACGAATACCCAGCTGTGTTCCTGAGGTGGGATCTCTGCACCCCGCCACAACCACAAGGCATAGCACCCTAACAGGTGAAGCAGGGGACAGCAGCAGCCAGAGTCCTGCTGTTGCAAGGGTTATTAAAATCTGCTCAGGAGAACGAAGGAAGAGGATGCCACACACTGAGGCAGAGACATATTTAGGATGGAGACCTGTTAGCTAGCTAGACCAGGGGTCAGCAGCCTGCAGCCCGCAGGCCAGATCCAACTGTGGAACTATGGGATCTAGCCTGTGGATGTGGGGCTTCGGCAGCAGTCAGCAGCAAGGAGCTTTGGCTGTGGGTGCTCTCCCCATGCTGCCATGAGGATGCGTACTGGTTGTGGGTGTTCTCCTCCTGCCACTGCAAAGATGCGTGGCAGCAGCTGGGTCCTAACACCCTCTGACCAAGGGTGGGTCATTGTAGCCTGCAACCAGAAAAGGTTGCCTACCCCTGAACTAGACTATTATTACCAGGCCTAGTGTGTGCATCTCAGTCTGTCTCTTTTTTCAGAGTTTTTTTAATAATTGCATTTTGTGAATGTAAATTTAAAAAAAAGAAATGTAGAATATTTGCATATATTACAAAGGAAAAAAGGCAAACTATAATCTCAGATTTTGCCTGTCCTCCTGTTGTTGCTTAAATCTCCCAAGAACAGATTCCAGATTTTTTTTTGCAATAATTGATACATACACCCTTTTCTGTAAAGACAGGAAATAATATATGTTGACACTATTAAATCTACATGAAAGCTGAATTTTTTGTTTAGCTTTCCATGGCATATGTACTTTCCCCCAAGCATAATCTGATTACTTTGATGCTTTTTTAAACCATAATACAATATGACCTCACAGTAAATACAGCCATATTGATCTGTTTGAAACTACATTTCTAAGTAAAAATAGTTTGAAAAAATCATTACAGCTTCTCTCAGAGGGAGTTATAATGTACTTACTGAAGTAAGATGAATTTGGAATGAGGGCTGAGACTGACCAAAACCAAATACCCTCAGATCCATAATAAAAATTTGCAAAAAGGACAAAGATTTGGAGAATTTTACTGCAAAAAATGGATTTGAAGGCATTTGCAGGTAACAGAATGCTATATACAGAAAGCCTTGAATACACCAATCAAAAACACTGTTGTAAAAAGTCAAATAATAGAAGATTCCATTATGGCTCCAAGAGACAGAGTGTTGCAAGAGCTGGAAGCAGCAGCAGATTACCTGAGCAGCATTAGCTAGGCATTGTAGCCCAATGGGCCACCTAGATTCCTGTGACCCTTTGACATTATTTTATCAGGCTTCTGATGGGAAACAACGGATGCAGGCTATAATTCTAAGAGATACAAATCACCCAAAATATCAAAAGCAGTTCCTGGACGCTGCAGATTCTGACCATGTATGAAAATCAAGTTCCTAATGTCTCTGTGGACTATGGGGTTTGGGAAATCTGAGCTCTCCAGGTGTTCACTAGAGCACAGCTAGGGACCTACTCAAATTGCAAAATGTCGGGGGGGGAACTTACTAAAAATAAAATGTTGGCTTCCCAGTGGGAACCAGCAGTCCTCATGACTGCTGCAGCCTGGCAGCGCAGCCCTCTGCAGGAGAAGTGTGTGTATAGCGGGGGGTGCCAACAGAAGGGGAGGCAGGAAGGTGTCTGCTGCCCCTCATTGCTGATTGACTAAGGGGGCTGCCTGTTTTGTGGCCCTGCCCCTCTCTTGGACTAAAAGACAAATTCTGCTTTTCTTTCCTGGAAGGTCCTGCTGACAACATGATTCCCGGGCAGCTAGGCTAGGTTCTTTCTTCTGCAGCAGTGTTTAATGTAGAGAATGGTGTGTATGTTCTGCTTATATGTAACACTGAAGCATGACATATTCAATTGCAGGCCAAGCTTTCATCTATCCACATGACAAGACTTCGTGAGTCAACAAAGGCCCCATCCTCAAGTCACCTGAGAGGCTGCAAGGAAGTACAAGAAGACCAAGATATGAAATGCCATTGTCATGTGAAGGAATGCAGAATGCCTTCCACGGAAGGCCCCTGCCCTGAGACAAGAGAACCACACAGCAGAACAAATTCCATCCAGGAACTTTCAGAATCCTTTAAGAAACAACTGCATTTCAAAAGCAAACGCTCAATTTCTTTGGTAGGTAGCAATCATGAATAGATGCTTAGACCATTAGCTCTCTGACCTTTGTGGGAAGGCATGGAATGAATGGTAGTCTTGTAAACTATGTTATCTTTCCCATGGCTACTGACCTGTTTAACGGTCAAATGTATTGCTAATAAGGTGCCCCCCACAGCATAACCATTTTCTATAATTTATTGCCTTTTTTACATGGATGAAATATCTAGTATCAATAGTTTCTTACTTTCCTATATATTCTAGTTCTGATTACCAGGATTTTAACACTTATTCTCCTAATACACAGGCTACATTTATAAAATGGAGGAGGAATTATACTTAGAACTTGTTTTTATTTTTAATGTCCTTTACACATAATAGAGGCATACTGTCACCTTAAGTTATACAGAGAAGGTTTTATTTATTGCTGTTGCAAGTGACACTGAAGCTTACTAGAACTGAATACAAAGAGGGGGAAATATTTTTATTTTTCTACTTTGTTTACTTTGCATTAAAAAGTAGCAAATTTCAGCTGTGTATACGGGTCTTTCACAAAGACACTGGGGAGAGAAAAACTTCTTTAATGAAGGAAATGATTGTGAAACCACAACAGCTGTACAGAGACTGAGAATCTGACATGCCTTTAACTCGTTTTTTTGTCCTTTTGATTTCGAGTTGCTGACATCCTTTTATCAATTTATTCTCACAAAATCCCTGCAAGTAAAAGGTAAATATTATTATCCTGATTTTACTGGTATAGGCAACTGAGACAGAGAGGTTAGATAATTTTGCCATAATCAATGAAGAGTTTTGAATCTGAGATGGGGTTAGAGCTCAGATATTCTGCTAGCCAGTGCTGCATGCCAAGAAAAGCCAGAAAAACAGATGGTTATCATACTTTTTCCAAGATACCTGATTCAACAAAGCATTAAGTTCAGTGGGACCACTTGCATACTTTTACTTAGGCACCTGCCTAGGTACCTTGCTGAATCCAACCCCAAGAGGGGAGAGCCTGGCTACAGCCTGGCTCTTTCAAAGATGCAAGTTGTTTTAATAGTACTGATTACATTTTCAAGCTGCCATCTCCGAGGCTCAGGTCCTCATCTGGCACAAAATGCATTACTCCACTGAAGTCACTTTGGTTATGCCAATTTACACCAGTTGAGGAGATAATTCCTACTTCATTAAACGCTTGCAAATATCCTTTGATTTGGTGACTTAATAAAAAATAAGCAATGACATATAGAGGAGAAGGGGCTGGCAGTGGGGACAGTAAGGGCTAGATCATGTCAGGCCTCGCCAGGGTAGTTCAGAAAAGAGAGCACATATGTCTTTCCTTTGCTATGTGCACCTGGTCAGGAATCAGGCACACAATCACACCCCTTTCACTCCCTGATCACAAGGGCTACACGGAGTCACAGTGTGATGACAGTGCAGCATGTACAACTTGGTAATCTGTTTTTTTCCCCTCATGAACTGTTAAACTCAAATTTTCTGTCCCTGAGGACCCCATTTGCTGTTCCTCATGTAGCCATTTTTGTTTGTTTATTACTTAGCAGATGTGCCTATAACTAGGTAGTCTGTCAGTATAAGATATAGTTTGGGTACATATCCCACATGATTCTGCTTTCCTTCTTTATATCTCTGTGGGACATACCCAGAGTATATGTTAGGTCACTTCTCAGGCAGCAGTGGTGCCAAATGCTCTCAATTCCCATCCAAGTCAGTAGGAGCTGAAGGCATTCAGAACTTTGCCAGGTCAGACATTAGGCTTCACAATGTTGAGAGAGAGAATTTCAAACTTGGAGCTTCAAATTTAGGCAGGACAATTTCCATATCTTTGACTATTGTAAGCACCCTGGAAGTGGAATTCAATAGAGAGAAGAAGGAACCCCTTTCTATCTTATTTTCTGTGTATCTCTTCCTTCTTAAAAGTTGCAGAGATGACATCTAGTAAACTTCAATCTCTGAGTTCAATGAGGTTTTCAGAAGCAACAGAGAACGTCACCAAGACGCGTGATGAAAGGTCACATGAGAAAATAACAAGACTGGGGCTAGATTGAAATAGCAGAACTCTTCCTGCAGGGCCTTCAGATAGATGATTTCATAGACATTAGGGCTGGAAGGGACCTCGGAAGATCATTGAGTCCCTATGGGTTCATAGGATCCCAGCAAGACAAGCATCCAAATTTCTCTTGAAAGCGTTCAATGTAGGTGCTTGAACGACCTCCGGTGGCAGGCTATTCCAGACTTTGGGGGCTTGGATAGTGAAGAAATTCTTCCTTATGTCCAGCCTGAAACGGTCTTGCAGGAGTTTATAACTGTTCGACCTTGTCATTCCTTGGGGCGCTCTGGTGAACAAATGTTCCCCCAGATACTGGTGGTCACCCCTGATAAACTTATAGGTGGCCATCGGATCACCCCTGAGCCTGCGTTTTTCCAGGCTGAAGAGTCCCATGGCTCTCAGCCTGTCATCATAAGGTCTGTTTTCCTGACCTCTGATCATGAGCGTGGCTCTTCTCTGGACTCTCTCAAGCTTCTCCACATCCTGTTTGAATTGTGGAGCCCAAAACTGGACGCAGTACTCTGGCTGCGGCCTCACCAAGGCCAAGTACAAGGGGAGAATAATGTCCCAGGATTTGCTTGAGAAGCATCTATGGATGCAAGCCAGAGTTTTGCTCGCTTTACTAGCTGCAGCATCACACTGAAGGCTCATGTCATCTTGTGGTCAATCATGAACCCCAAGTCCCTTTCATCTGTAGTGCTAACCAGCGCAGCACTGCCGAGCCTATAAGGATGCTGCAGGTTTTTCCTCGCAAGGTGGAGAACCTTGCATTTTTCAGTGTTAAGCACCATCAGGTTCTTGTCTGCCCATTTCCTGAGCCTGTCAAGGTCAGCCTGGATTGCCCTCCTGTCCTCAGGTGTGGATGCTTTACCCCAGAGTTTGGTATCATTGGCGAACTTGGCCAGTCCGCTTCTGACTCCAATGTCTATGTAGCAGGCACTAGGGTGCTTGCTACTGGCGATAGTGATATGGGCTTAGCTGCCAGTCAACAGGGCAGCACAGGTGAGGGTTGCTGAGGCAACCAATTTGGTCAGCTGGCCGGAAGGGGGCAGGGCCTGGCCTCTATAAGTAGCCAGGCTGAGGCCAGAAGGCAAGTTCCCGTCTGGCAGTCATGGGTGGAGGAGCTCTGTGGGAGTGTTGCAGCCTGTAGGAACTAGATGGCCTGAACTGCGTCAGTTGAGGACTGGGTGGAGCAAAACCATGGTAGGGTTTTGAAT